AGTAGACGTAAAACGCCATTTTTATTTGTTCAAAGTACCGTGGAGTACAGCACTATTTTGAGAGGATTTACAGCTACCTTTGGCAATTCCACGTAAATATAACCTCATATACAAAACTTATTGTTTGGTCTTGTAGACTTGTATAAAGTGATTAACACAGGTTACTTTGTTGATAATGTGTAAATGAACGAGGTACTTCGGTTTTAAGGCGTTCTGTGGTCTTTATATTTGTCCAAACATTCCGTTTTTCAGTAATTTTTAAGATTTCTAATCTTTCTATCCATAATGCTTACTTAAAACCATTTATACTATGTTTCGTTGTGTTGCGGAAGTATTTCGAAAGGCTTTACTTTTAGAATATAGCATTGTATTAGAAGAAAGGCAGGTGTTCACCCGGAGGGTTGTGTTGACTGCCCCTATAAGCTTGCTTAATCAATCTTTAGAGATTGTTACACCCTCTGCGCACCTCGCAGTGTAAGTTTTCGGTTGCGTTACCTATTGGATCTGTTTTTTAGCCACTGCTGCCTACAAAAGGACACACTAGATTCGGAAACGGGATAGTCGATAGAATTTTAAGCAAGTTTATAGTCTCCTCTTAGTGAAGGTCTTTTCTTCTAGTATTTTGCCACAAAATCTAATCTGTCCCTGCTATAAATATATTTTAGAATATTAGGTATGCTTCTAATTTTGGCCCAAGCAATCTCATATTCAAGTCCTGAGGTCTTTAAGCCAAGGGAGAAGATATAATGAGTATCACTTAAGTAGCAACAATTTTTTAAAAAATACACTTGTCTTCGTATTTAAAAAATTAAAGCGGACTCTAAAAGTGATCTTCTAATGAATTTAACACAGTTCGGACGCAATCACAAAGTTAATTTGTATTTTGTTAACGTGTTATCAAATAGTCAAATTTGTATGGCCGTCGAATTAATCTTACCCTTAGTTACGCATTTTGCTCCTTTTAAGGTCTTCGTCGCGGACCACACTCCGCCAGCTGCGGAAATAATTCCACAACTGATGGAAGAATTAATGACGTGGGTCAATTCAGAAGAAGCGGCGGAGCTACATCCCATCGAACAGGCAGCGCTGGCTCATTGGAAACTTGTGTACATTCATCCCTTTTACGATGGGAATGGCCGAACTGCCCGTCTATTGATGAATTTAATTCTCATGCGTGTCGGCTTTCCGCCAGCAATTATACGAAAGGAAGATCGCCACCTCTATTACGAAACCTTGAAGACTGCCAATATTGGTGATGTGCGCCCTTTCATTCGTTTTATAAGTGAGTTTTGTATTTATTTCAATGTGCCTGTCGGTCCAACTTTCCATGTTTTAAGGAACTTTGGTGACTGTGAGATGTTTGCCTTCTTAGGAGTTTGGTAGCACGGAAATTCAGAAAATCGCAGAACGAAAACCGTTCTTACGAAACAGAAGAAAAGGAACAACAGGAAATACGGGCTTCCAATGGGAATTTGCATTAGCTCTTTTTTCTTTTTGTTCCCACTAGTTGCCTTCTTGTGGAAGTATACCAAACTGGGTCTGTAAACCGATGCATCCAGGATCTCTGGTTATTACTTCGAAAGAAGCTACTTTCGCAAACTTTAAATGCAACGCTCCGCCGGAGGCTTGAGTAAATGATAAATAACCTAACATTTTTGGGTCGAAAACGCTAAGTCAGTCTAAGCCCATTTTCTGTCGCCTGCGTAGATCTGTTCAGTAATTCATTGGCGCGTATTGAGTGAACTGTCCCAGTGACAAAACTATGGCTTTATTTTTTAGACTTTTTACGTCTGTTATATTTTCAGACGTTCGAATTTCTCGTGGTTCCTTTTTTAATGTGTTAGAAGACCTATTCATATAAACATCGGTGTATTTTATCCATGTTTGAGTATTTCAAGTATGTTTTCCACATTTGGAGGGCAGTATTCTTTTGTAAGTTTTTGAGGATCATTTATTTCAATGCCTCGTCTCCCGTCTAAGGTGTTAAATGTCAAGCCGGTTGGGACCGGCTTTTTGTATGATGAACTTTTGAAAGTGTTCCGGCCCATAAACGGCGGTGTCAAAGTTGACATATTCCGAATCGTGTCGGCATCTTTCATTCATTAATTTATTTGGAACCGGTAGTTTTACACCTTCGAGATAATCAGGGACTATTTTGAGCAAACGAATGACTAACCTGTCCGCCACTGCGAAAATAGGTGGTCCATTCATTTGACCAGACAAGAAGGTACTTTCGCACACACAAAATTGACTTACTTTTTGGTGTGTAATGTAACTTCGATCGGTAGTTTTTTCGTTATAATAACTGTAAATTACACTAATTTTCATGTTTCTGTTCCTGTTATTTGCTGTTATTCATGTGAACTAATGACTTCCTTCTGCTGTCAATAGCACGGCGGTCAGAATTTGGTTGTATAGTAAACTACTACCTGACCATAATGATAAGAAGCGCTCAGCCTTCCAGTCTCTGTAAAAAACCTCCGCTAGGCTCCACACGAAAATAATGCAAATCCATTCAGCTGTGAGTTCTTCTGCAAACTTGTTTGATGTTGAGCCGTGCAGATTTTTTTAAAATTCTACCTCTATCAACTCTCGTCTCCTCGAACTTGCACCATCTTACCTTAACTTCCTTTACCATAAACTAGCTGACTGTGCTGAGAGGACGCTTGATGACTACCTCCTCGCTGCCTACGGCTCCTCTGCGGTTGAAGTGCTTGTTCAAAGGCCCTCCGAAATTTCACTGCCTACCCCAACTTCTCTCTCGCCTATACCCCCTGCGATCCAATTCACTCCACCCTCGAACTTCCTATTGGCTCCTGAAAAGCCAGTGTGGTCTGACCTGCCGCCGCCCCTGCCTTCTAAAACATTCCGGGAAACGTCCTTCGGGAAAGGCGCCGACTTGCCTGAGATAATTTATAGTAACTAGAATGATACAATCAGTTACCCTTCTTCCTCCTTTTCCTCGATACCTCCACTACCCCATTTCGCGCGTCTTTCACAGTTTCTTTGCCTTTATTATTTGACATTCGTAGACAGCCCCCTTTAGGTGCTTTCTTTCAAGAGATGCTTACCTGCCTTTTTATGGTATTACTTTTCATTTGTATTTTTATGTGTGCATGGTTTGAGATTGTAAATAAATAAAAAAACTTTCCTATCTGAGTGATCCACGCCTCCTTTTTAATCGCACCTCATTTCGTTGTTCCAGTGTTCAAATAGTTATTTAAAGTTAAATCCCTCCCCGTTTTCGCACAATACACAGCCGGCGTCCGTTTGTTATACACACACTGTTGACTTTCGTTAACACTTTACTAATTTGATTGCTCCATGATAAATAAACCGGCTTACTCGGTGCTGTACTCGCGCATGATTCTGTACGCGCGTCACCCGCCGTTTGCGCTTGATAGGAATTTCATTTACTTGTTGCAGGCCATAGTCAATTTTTCACCGTTTCGGATGTGGACACTTCTGGCGGGATCGATCCAAGCCTGTTTTCCATTCGTTAATGAACGCTCACCGATTGCTCACTCGAGCCCCACCAGCAGCGCCAGCGACTAATAGTGTAGGCAGGTGAAAGAATATCAATATTGCCGATCTAAATCAGCAAGACAACGATCCCGTGGCTCAATGGCTAGAGCGGTGAACTTCTGATCAACAGGTCGCGGGTTCGAGCCTTGGCCGGTTGGCCACTTAGGATTGGGTATGACTGACTGATGACGGCTAATGAGTCACTACTGGCCAGTCCAGTCCCTTATGTTTTTGTCGGCAGTATTTATTTGCTTGCCACATGGCCATGATAACTGAGTCTGATTTGGGTCATCTTTCGTTCTGGTTACGCGCTTGTAGCGTTTACTTCATGCGCGCTGCCTTTATTTCTCTTTGGCGCTTCAACCACCGTTACCGAACATGTGAGCCATTCGTGCTCCGTTATCGTTTACTTGGGCGTATTGTTTATTTGGTAGGTATTCATCGTAGGGCCACCGAGTAGGAGAAGTCTCCCAGCCCAACCGTCGTAAGGTTTTCGTGATTCAAGCTTGAATCCTTGGTGAATACGTATTCAATTCGTGGTAAGTGCGCAGTAAAAATAAAGCCGCTTGTACTTGTTATACTGAACGAAACGAAGGTGAAAATGTTAGGGAAAGAACAAAAAGCCCAATAAAAGTATTAGAACAACTCACTGCCATTATGCGGCCCCACCACGAATCCGCACCGTTTATTTCATTTTGAGAGGATTATGGGCCAAATTCTCGTTCAAGGAAGATACTCGTCCTGTTTACCTTCTACCGTGAAAATGGGTTGGATTTGGTCTTGCGGCGTTAGCTTCCTGACCACATGGTTATTTGGACGAGGTAAAGGGTGTGCATCCATCTACCGAAGGGATTCACGGCTAGGTTAGCCGAGGTTGGTGGACTTCATCCATTGCGAAAATTAGCCCGAAAGATGGGTCTATAGTGTGTTCGGTTGCTCGAATGGCGGAATTACCGTTGGGGCGCCAAGTTGTCATTGACCATTAACAGTCTTAAGCTGCAGACTTTCCGTTCTGGATGCCGAACTTTGTCTGACTAAGGAATTTTCATTGGTATATGTTGGATTTTACATGTTTTGCATTTTTTGGTAGCAAGGAAACCATTCTCTCAGTGTAAGTGATTGGATAACCTTGCCGCCACTTCGTACTTAAGGGTGGGGGGGGGTTCTCTGTCACAGCGGGTGGATAGTCCTCTGGTTACGCGCAGAGATTGAGTCCTATGACGCTTACAGCCGCCCTAGATCAGCCGTCCTTTCTGTTTGCGTAATAACCTTAACCCCCTCACTCCCATTAGCACGTAACAGACACCACGGGGTGCAAGCTCCCATGTGAACCACATTAGCTTCTCAATCGTTTCCCCCTAACGGCCCTGCTCATGGACCTTCCTGGAGAGTCAAGTATGGGTTTCTGTTTTACCAAATACGCAAAATTGCGCATTGAATGCGGAGAAGAATTGGCTATTTGACACTGAATTGTGCTCACATGCTATAAGGGCAGTCGATCGGCTGTTTTATCCTTGGGGTCACAACCACCATGGTCATAATTTTTGAAAGGCTTTTTTCTATAATAATACTAAACATCTTGAAGATGTTCACATTTTTTCGGCCTAGAGTGTTGCCGTCAAACAGACTGACCATGGGCAATAGGTCGCCTGTCTTGGTTACTATTATCTTCAATTTTACCGGATAATAAAGCATGCAAATACTCTCCTCTGAGATACCTTGACAAGTGCAACGTATGTTTCTCTGAACTCCCTGGACATCACCCGTAGTGCGTATGCGTGATAATCATTATCGATATAATCAGCTGCCGGTTTTTTGCTTCTGCATCGCTGTAGGAGCGCGCTTACCTCGTCAAATCCCGAAATAGGATGTATTGTGTTAGTCCTTTTTGTTTAGTGGAGTTCTCTAAAGTAATTCTTACACACGAAGTAATTGTACCGGATGTTCTTATTAGACGTGTGATTTTCGATTCCTTCTCTTTTGTCCCTTTAACTCTGAATGAACCATTAGACTTAAAAAAAGACCATATCTTCCACTTCAGGCGGCCGAGTTTACCTTGCATTCCCGATGAGGTAGATCACAATGTTGGAAATAAAACAGTCAGTGGAAGTCCTGCGGCGTCAGCAGCGACTCTTCAGGGTAAACGCCGATGTCAATTACTGCGGGTTAGTTCACCGCACAATTTTCGGCTTAACTGTCTCCCGACCCCGTTTTATCAAATTATTACAATCTACGCAATTTTTCTGTAGTCCTTATAAATAAATAAATTGCATATTTAAGGCCCAAGGGGCCCTTTCATTACAAACTTAGTGCTATCGTAAAAAGAAAAAATACAAAGTTGGTAATCCCAGCTGCGCGTAAGCAACTGTATAACAACAGGAAGGAGTAGTATGTTGCCTAGTGACTATTATTTTATAAGAGAGTTCGTTGTAAATCGGATCTGACTTACTATCTTAAGTCAGTAGGCAGTAAAAAACTCCTACATCGGTGGCAAAGTTCAGTGAGCCACCGATTCCCAAAAAAAGGTAGGAGAAAAACTGGTTAAAAAGATGTCAGCAACACCCGGTATTCCCAGCCGGTCATCCATGCAAGTACTAACCGGGCCCAACGTAGCTTACCTTCGTTGATCGGACGAGAACCAGTGCTTTCTACGTGCGTCTTGTTTTTTTCTAAGTTCACTTCCAAAATTAGATACTCCCCGATCGTGGGGAGTCGGTTAAGGTGCCCATACTACCCTCCAAGATCAAAGCATTTATTTTGTAACACCCAGGTTTGCTGTCTGATATGGGGCTTTAATTAAATAACTCGAATCGGAATATGATAAACCACCACAGCATAACACGTTTTTGCAACACACTGGAACTTTTTGTACGCGTACTGAAGTATTAATCCAGGACTACTGAAATGCCTACCGTGTTACGGCTGTTAGGCCTGAACGCTTAGATGAACTGTGAGTGACGGTCAATTCTCGTACTAGGTGAAAGGTGTCAGCCCTATTCTCATTTTTTATCATACGTTGAAGTAAGGCCATCTTATACTGGACCTCGTTTGCTCTTTCAGGTCGTTATGGTGTAAAAGTGTCATTACGATGACTTGGATGCGTCAGTGGTAGAAACAAAAACGAGCTCAGCCACCCATTTCAAGAGCCGAGAGAGTGCAACTCACTGACTGGAATAACTGCTGCTGTTGATAAAAGCAGCATTTTGTTAAATTGTCTGATACAATGCTTGACAAGCCTGGACAACATTTTAAGTCTTCACGGGACAGTGCTGCCCTGCACGCTACTCGTTCTGGTCGTCGGTGTCCTTTAGATTTCAAGGCTTCATAAAATTGAGCAGGTGGCTTGTTCTGAAACTCGGTCTCCTCTCTGAACACTTTTGTAAATTCCGTGTCCACTCAGCGTCACGTGTAAATCCTCCAGACGCCTTCCCATAAACCCGTCTAGATGAAGGAGTAAACTTTGTTTTGCGGTGATTACGCAAAGGCCTTTATAAAATGCTTGCTCATAAAGTATTTCACCCAAAACGCTCTGCACTAAAACCTTTTTTTCTATGCTAGTTCAACGGAATCACCCGCAGGCGTGCTGTGTTAGAGTGGAGAGTGCCCCAGGGTCAGGCCCTCATTCTAGGTTTGCTGTTTCATACATATTGTTGGGTACGCTACCATACCACAAAAAATAATGAGCGATAAACTAGGTACAATCCTCGACAGCGAATATCCGTATAAAAGAAAGGAGTCAGCTGAATTCAACGTCTAACTACAGACAATAAAACATGCATTCCCAGAAGTGGGTCACACGCGTGCAAATGGGGGTGACCCTCAGTTTAAACGTCAAAATTAAGAGTTACCCAAACAAGGGAATCCAGTTCAGGTGGTTAAGGGAAAGAAAATAGGGAAAAAATTTACGTAGGTCAGGTAGGAGTTCACAGAAGGCAGACATGAAGAATTTCCAAGCTTGTTTGCTAGAAGATAGCAGTGCATTTAACCGGTTTCTCAGCTCTCTTTAAATTGAGCACCCGCCATCGGTAACGATAATGGTGTTGCTGATGGTCCTGCTTCTGCTGATTACGTTGCATCTGATCCAATCTACTGAACCTTCTTTGGATTGCTTAACCCTCTGGCTAACATGTATGCCATCGAAATAATCGTTTGAGTTTTTTAATTAACTATATCCTGCTAATCTGTGCCCTTTAGTTAATATTTCGTTTTTAGTCTATACTTCGTAAATTGCTTCCAACTGAATGCTTACTTTTGACGGCATTTTCCCTCAACCAGCATGATCTTGGGTCAACCAGAGTGCTTCATAGAATTCTATCGGCATCTCTTTTGTGACCATTCTCCTGACGTGGCGGCCTTTCTCGTGGAAAGTGGCTTCCATATGAGCGGTGAGCAAATTTATTC